ATCTCTTTGGGGGCTCAGAGAACATCTTTACAGGAAAGCAGCCCTATCTTTAGCATAATTGGCTGAGGGCCTTGGTTGAGCAGACCCCTGACTATCATCAGCCGTGACAAAGACAGGGTCAGGTGTGTGCAGGCTCAGCCCCAGAATGGCTTCCAGCCATGCGATCTGGTCTACCAGATGGCCCAGAGGATAATTATCCCTTACTCTTAAGAAAATCAGATTTAGAAATACCCATAGTAAACTTGTAAGTAAATGTAACTAGAACAATCTGTCATGGACTAAATGGAAGAACACATCGGCACCATAGCCTCTTGTTCTTCAGGCACAACCGTAAAATCCCCATTATACAAAGGAAAAGTCAGCATTGTGGAATGTTCAAGGAATGTGAGTATCTGCACACTAAGAAAGCAGGACTCGCCAAAACCGGTTTGGCTCAGTGGATGGAGCATCGGCCTGCGGACTGAAAGGTCCCGGGTTTGATTCCGGTCAAAGGCATGTACATTGGTTGCAGGCACATCCCCAGTAGGGGGTGTGCAAGAGGCAGCTGATCAATGTCTCTCTCTCATCGATGTTTCTGACTCTCTATTCTTCTCTCTTCCTCTCTGTAAAAAAAAAAAAAAAAAATCAATAAAATATATTAAAAATAAATAAATAAAAGCAGGCAGGCCTCAGGGTTGAGAGGAAAGCAATAATTGGAAATTTTAGGAGGAAATGTATATGGGGGTGAGAAAATGGAGCGATTATCATTTTAATGTGTAAAAGATAAGTGAAGGTCCTACAGAATGGTGCAATCAGTCATTGTGAATGGAAAAGGAATGAAAGTGGGACTTGAGCGTCACGTACATACACATGGCAGCTAAAGCTACCCGAGGGCATGCAGCCTTGAGGACAGGACAGAGCAGGTAAGAAGCCCAAGTTCAGGAAGTACGTGTTGGGAGACACGTTTAGATCTGGGCGGAAGAAAAGTTCCAGGAAAGAAGACAGAATGTTATGGAGCAGAGAGGGATGTGAGACAGGTTCGAGCACAAAAAGACATTAGTGTGGGCACCACACATCAGTAGGGAGATATGGACAGATAAAAATGGAGGAATTATTTAAAGAAAAACATGTTTACATTTTTACCTAATACCATCTCCAAGGGTGAATGCTGGATCTGTGTCCAACACAGCAGCTGCAAGCCACATGTGGCTACTGAGCACTTGAAATATGGCTAGCTGAATTGAAATGCAAAATGGTCGCTGGATTTCAAAGACTGAAAAGGAAAGAAAGAAGTTAAGGTATCTCATTAACAATTTTTATATCACCTCAGCCGGTATGGGGCTCAGTGAATAGAGCAGACCAAAGGATCCGGGGTTCGATTCCGGTCAAGGACATGGTTGCAGGCTCCTCCCTGGCCCAGGCCACAGGAGGCAACTAATCCATGTGTTTCTCTCATATCGATGTTTCTCTGTGTCTCTCCCTCTCTCTTCTACTCTCCCTAAAAATCAATGGGGGAAAAATACCCTTGGGTGAGGATTAACAAAAACAGACAAAAAAAATGAATTTTTATATTGATTATATGTTGAAATGATCTTTTAGCTATATTGGGTTTCAAAAGTATTAAAGTTCATTTTACTTTTTAAATGTGTGTACTAGACAATTTTAAATTATATATATATAGATAGATAGATAGATAGATATAGATATAGATATAGATATAGATATAGATATAGATATAGATATAGATATGGCTCACATATTTCTATTGGGACAGCACTGCTCAAAATGGACTACAGACCTAAAAGTGAGAAACACTGTTAAGCCTGAAGAGGGAGTGATGAAAGCTCTCCTCCATCTCTGCACAGACAGTCACTGTCCTGGCTACAGGTGGAAGGGTGGACTGGTTTCTAGAGAACAACCTAGCGATTTCACCCTGAGTTTATGCCCTCCCAAAGGCTCACATGGACCCAGAAGGGCATTCCTAATCAACATAAGGATGCTAATTTCAACTCTGTGTACAGGGGTGGGGAGCTGGAGGGAACCTGATGCCCTACATCCAGAGATGAATCGGGAGAATAAGGTGGTTGCATACTGCGGAGTGTTGCTCAGCTGTTAGCTATGACACTGTAACATAGCACTTAGTGAAAAACGTTAGAAGCGATGAGCTCTACAACACAATTTACATAAATTAGAAGAAACCAATGGTAAAAAGATATTTGCAACCATCTAGGGGAAATTGAATACAAATATCAGATAATATTAGCATAGCATACGCGGGACGTTTTAATTGGAGGCAGGTAGTGAGGCCTTCATAGGAGAAATTACATGATGTCTGGGATTTGCTTTTCAAAACTCCAGCCCTCCTCCAAAGGAGTAAAGGGGCTAGATGAAGTGTCAGCAAAATGTAATGGTCAAATCTGGGTAAAAGGTCCATAGGTGTTCATTATAATATTCTCCATTTGTGCCTTTTGGAATTGTCCACATAAAATATTTTAATGGGGGAAAAAGCAAACGTTGTCCTAAGAAGACATGTCTTGCAAGAACACAAACAAAATAATGGCAGGCCCTGGCGCATTAAACTGACTCATTAGAATGATTGCCCGTGAGGGCAGGGAAAGGAGAGGAAGGGAGTAAGGAAATGGGTGGGGCCCTGCGGAACTGGGTCCCTTTCCCAGAGCCGCCCCTCGCCATTGGCTCCGGAGCAGCAGGCACTGAGCCTCGAGGTGCGCCCAGCCGGAGTCGGAGGCATGGCCCCCTCCAGCCATGAAGATATTTGTGTACTCGAGTGCTCAGTGTCCATGGAACCGAGTGCAGCCGCGTGGGCAAGTCTTTCCTCATCACCCTGGGCTGCAACAGCATCCTTACCCAGTGAGTACTCCGGTGACTTCTGTTCCTTCTACAACATCCTGAAGTCCTGCCGGGGCCGTGCCCCGGACGGCCGGATGGTCGGTGTTCAGCGAGCAGACAGAAGAGGCCTCGCTGTGCAGTATTTCCGGTTCTGTGGCTACCTGTCCCAGCAGCAGAACATAATGCAGGACTGCATGCGGCAGGCACCTACCAGCGTGCGATACTGCAGAACATCTCGGACTTCCAGGACAAGATTGTTCTGGATGCTGGCTGTGGCTCTGGAATCCTGTCATTTTTTTGCTGCCCAAGCTGGAAAAAGGAAGACCTGAGGCGGTGGAGGCCAGCACCATGACCCAGCTCGCCAAGGTCAGTGGCCAGTGGAACCCCTGCCTGTCCTGGTCCTTCAGCTATATGCCCGCTCTGACCTGGGGAGCTGGCCCTGCTGGGAGCCCCCAGGAGGCCTGACCCCTTGGATTTAGGGGATTATGGGAACATCACTTCTCTTTGGTCTTTTATCCTCAAAACCTGAGCTGAGGTGGTGTCCCCTCCATGACGGGTAGTCAACTATTAGGTTCAGGGGTGAACTGGGGCCTTCAGAGGCTTGGTGGCCTTGTGCTTCAGGGGACTGTGCAGTCACACAGGCCAGGGTGAGATCTCGGACCTGGCCAGTGGCCTGCCTCTCTGAACCCCTTCCCACATCTGTGAAATGTGCGTAAAAACAGCGTTTCATTTCCTTAAAGCTGTCAATTTCTTTGTTTTAAAAATAAGAGTAAGGAAACAGGGGTGGGGGAGGGGGGGGAATGGAATAGTACCGTCAGAGCTATGCAAAGAAACTGTATAAAAACAGAAGGGTGATGAATGAAATGAAAATTTTAAAAGGGTTGATACTAAGCCAAGGACATTAGTTCTGATGATCTCAGAAAATTCTGGGAATTGGAGAGAACAGAACCCAAAACACAGTGCACAAAGGTGGGTGATAGCAGGTTCAGACCCTCCATTTGTGAAGCCAGTATAGTGAAGATGAGTGAAAGCTATTTCAGAAGTGGCTAAGGAGGTCCCTATACATGTTTTAAAAGTTTGAGGGTGGAGAGAAACTGGAAATGGCCGAGAGAATAAGGGATGGAGGGAGGTAGATACTAGTACGTGGGAGACAAGCATGACTGTTATTAGAATTGCAAGAACAGTGCCTCTTCTGAAATAGTTGGGAAGCAAAACGATGCCAGTGAAAGAAACATATCAGAACAGTTGGCGGGGAAGAAGGCAGCCTCAGGAATGTGTGCCTGTGGTCTCAGAAGAGCTTCTCTGAAGCCATCACAGTGAGGAACGGTGGTTGACAATCACCCTGGCAGGCTCTACTCAGAGAGAAACAGTCCCTCTCTCTACAAACATCTATTCTTTGTTCAAGGGTGACAGTAACCCACCTGACAGCTTCCCTTTGGCCACCAGGAGGTGCCCTGAGACCACAGCTGTCTAGTCCAGAGAGGGACTCACAGTTGCCTAGTCCAGCAGCTGAGTGTGGATGTGGAGACCCTGTCCCCACCCAAATCAAGGAGCCTCGCTGGGCCTTTGCACCGAGCATTCCTTTGGTGTGCTCAGGGAACCAGCCACGTCTGCTGGTATACATAAGCAAACGGAACAAGACCCAGGGGAGCCCCCATAGAACGCCTCCTAGACCTCTCCCAGGTCTGCTGTCTTTGGTTCTACTTCGTCATCAATGAACAACATGCTTGTAATGAAAAGTTCTTAATTATGTGCAAAGCTTTACGAAAAAATGACTAGGTTTTCTCAGAACGTGTATTTCTAAAATGTTGTACCAAGCTGGCAACCCTTTTAGGGGACCCAGCGAGGCAACCCTTTGTCATCAGCTGCCGGCCCCCGGCCCCGCTTCGGCTCCCGCTTCGGCAGGCGCGGGCAGCACCCCCATTGTGACGGCAGTGACCCCGGCTTTCTGAGCTCATGGGGCAGTGTGTGCGTCCGCGCCTTTCTGACGCCGAGCCCGACCCCCGCTTCCGGAGCGCTGATTGGCGGGCTGGGGCCGGGGGCGGGCTGACCTCTCTCCGCCGCGCCGTCACCAGCTGGCCCCGCCCCGTGCCGGGGTCGCCGGGAGCTGAGCCAGGGGCAGTGATTTACATGCGGCCGCGGGATTGGTCGCCCGGCTCCCGCGAGGGGGAGGGGACGGGAGCGCGCACTCGCGCGTGCGTGAGCTGGCGCGCGGGGAAGGGCCGGGTCGCGCGGAGGCTCGAGCGGCCTTCGCCATTTTGTGGGGTTCTCTCTGACGCGGGAGCCGCCGCCGCCGCCGCCGCCCCCCGGAGGTAAGAGGGGCGTCTTGGGGGCTGTGGGGAGCCCGAGGCGGGCTGGGCGGCCCGGGCCGGGCCTCGGCGGACGGAGACGGCCGCGCTGGGGCTTCTCGGGGAGGTGCGGGGAGACAACGGGAGGAGGCGGGGCAGGGGTCGGGGCGAGCCTTTGTTGGGGCCTCGGAGCCGCAGGTTGGGCCCCTGGGGGGCCGCGGGGAGGGAGTAGGGGGGTGTCCTGGATGGGGAGCCCAGGGGCCTTATTTTGAGAGAATCTTGAGAGGTGAAGCCCGAGGGAGGAGAGGTGCACAGATTTCCCTCCAAAACCTCGCGAGCGGGGACACTCAGAAACGTGCCCCTTGCCCCCGGCCTGAGCGCTTCTTTCCTGCCCCAGAGGAGTGTGAGGACGTGGGACGGCGAAAGCTGTCACTTCGTGCTCCTTTCACAGAGGTGATGGGGAACGCGATGCTGACTGACCCGACCTCCTGCCGGTGCCCCACGGCTCTCGCTGCTCCCCGAGGACACCCCTCTCCTATGGAAAAACCACCGGCTCTGCCGGGGCACCAAGAACTTATGTGGAGGCTTTCACCAGCCGCAACGCGGCACCCCTAACTTGAGGGGATTCTGTTTCTTCCCTCTCAGGCTCTCAGGATGGTGAAGCTGTTCATCGGAAACCTGCCCCGGGAGGCCACCGAGCAGGAGATCCGCTCGCTCTTCGAGCAGTACGGGAAGGTGCTGGAATGTGACATCATTAAGAACTACGGCTTCGTGCACATAGAGGACAAGACGGCGGCCGAGGATGCCATCCGCAACCTGCACCACTACAAGCTGCACGGGGTGAACATCAACGTGGAGGCCAGCAAGAACAAGAGCAAAACCTCCACCAAGTTACACGTGGGCAACATCAGCCCCACGTGTACCAACCAGGAGCTGCGGGCCAAGTTTGAGGAGTACGGTCCGGTCATCGAATGTGACATCGTGAAAGATTACGCCTTTGTCCACATGGAGCGGGCCGAGGACGCGGTTGAGGCCATCAGGGGCCTTGACAACACAGAGTTTCAAGGTGAACTGCTCTGGGGTCTTGGTGGCAGAACTGAGTGGGGTCTAGGGCAAGACAGGCAAGAACACAGGACCCTGGGGCTGGCAGGGTGGTCCCTTCCATTCTATTTTAGCTGGGAATAATAGGAAGATTGTATGTTTACCATTCTTGAGATTTGCCAAATCCTTTTCAGATTGTTGACAACCACATAAAATCACAAACTCCGGGTTACTTTACCCTTCAGGCTTCACTCATTTCAATGCTGTTGGGAGTTTAAGTCTGTGGCTTACCTGCGGCTTTTGTCATGGCCAGGAAGCCTTATGTTTGAGAGGTCAAATGTGTAGAATTGATACTTTTTTTTAAAGTATATATTTTAATTGATTTTTTAAAGAGAGGAAGGGAGAGAGAGAGAGTTAGAAACATCGATGTGCCTGAAAGCAAGGTACGTGCCCTTGACCGGAATCGATCCCGGGACCCTTCAGTCCGCAGGCCGACACTCTATCCACTGAGCCAAACCGGTTTCAGCAAATTGATACTCTTTACTACTATGCGTGATGGATTGTGGTGGGCAATTTGGGGGGTGGGGAATCTGTATTTGGGGGGAATATTTGTTCAGCTCCAGCAGAGCCAGAAATCACGAACTACAGATTGTCCTCAGCTTATGTCCCAATAAACCCATCGCAAGTTGAAAGTATCGTTCAGTTGAAAATACATTTAATACTATACCATAAAGCAGTGGTCGGCAAACTGCGGCTTGCGAGCCACATGTGGCTCTTGAGCCTCGGTTTGCCGACCACTGCCATAGAGCATCATTTGTTTGCCCTTGTTATCTGCTGGCTGAAGCAGCTGTGGCTGGGCACCACTGCCCAGCATCATGAGAGTAGCATACCACATATCGATAGCCTGGGAAAAGATCAGAATTCAAAATATGGTTTCTAATGAATATGCTTTCAAACCATCATAAAATCAGACCACTGTTTGTTGGGGAATATCTGTATTCTGCCCCATCTATTATATAATCCTAAAGGTAAAAAATTCTAAAATAATTAGATTGAATGGGAATGATGGTCCTGCTTCTGAGGAGATCCCGTAAGATATTCTAGTAAGTGATATATTATTTATACCAATCATAAAGGTACATAGCTTGTCATTAATACATAGGAGGTCATCTGATGGCTCTAGAACTGTACTGTCCACAGATTAAATTGAAATTAAATAAAATTTAAAATTCAGTTTCTCAATTGTACTGCACCCACCCAGAAGGCATAAGAGGTGAGTGGCTACTGTATTAGTGCAGATATGGAACACTTCCATCATCATAGAAAGTTCCATTGGACAGCACTGTTCTACAAGGTTTTTGTTGATAGTGTCATCTTGAACCACATTTACAGCCACTTCTCAGGGTCATAGATTAACAATTTTTTGTCTGAGTGCCAGTAAGAGTTGTTAAGAAGTACTTAAGGGCCCTCTGCTAACCCTAGAAAACAGAAAAGAAGTGGAAGAGGAAAAGTTGACCAGAAAAGGGTAAGAAAGTTTGCAAAATAGAGATTACAGAGAGTGCAGCAAAAGCTCTGGTCACAGCCAGTGAGGAAGGGACGTGTGTTTTAATAAAGCAAGTTTAATTATTTTAAGTAGTAGATATCTGACTACACACGATTCATAAGATTTTTTACAATGTTTTTACAAAGATCCTTTATTTGGTTTTCATGTTCTTACCCTGACCCCTCTGGAGGAGTTACAAACATAGGCATTTTTATAACCACCTTTATCTCACCCCCCCATGACAAGAGAAAGTTTAGCATCTATAATAATAAAAGCATAATATGCTAATTAGACGGACTTCCTTCCGGACAACCTTCCAGAGGAAGCCAGGGCTGTGAGGGCCAAGCCCATTGCACAAATTTTGTGCATCAGGCCTCTAGTTGGATAGTAAGTTGCAGTTTTATAGAAAATACAATCTAGATACCAATTTATCACATTTTTTGATAAATCCTTTGCAGGTGTTTAATGAAGGTAGCATCTTAAGAATACCACTTTAGGCATCAATTGAACCTTTATATGTTAATGGCTGCCATTTAGGCTTCTGACTTGACTTCTAAAAGGAAGCAGCAGAATCTGAGTGTATGTCTTTCAGGATCTGTTCCTCTCTGCAGCAGCAGTGAATGCACCCCTAGTGAGTTAGCAAACAGCTTGCATTGGAAAACCTTAAAGCAGCCTTCCCAAGTAACCACTCAGGCAGCCACATTGGGACTATGTAAGAGTTTAGGTGTCTTGTGTTTTCCCCCAGTATGTAAACAGGCATTACACTGAAGTGCTATTGTGTGTCAGCTACATCCCCAGCCTCTGGATCCTAGCAATGATAGGAGTTCAGCAATTAGGATCACAGGTTGCCCATCTCAGCTTTTAATACTCGTTTCTGTTCCAGAACTCAGAGAAAAGAAAAAAAAAGAAAAAACTTTTATTGGGCTAGTTTTCTGGAAAATGTTGGCAATGCATTTCAGTAACTTTTAAATATATATATTTTTATTATTATTATTATTTTATTTCAGAGAGGAAGGGAGAGATAGAAACATCGATGATGAGAGAAACATCAATGGCTGCCTCTGACACGCTCCCCACCAGGGACCAAGCCTGCAACCTGGGCATGTGCCCTTGACCGGAATCAAACCTGGGACCCTTCAGTCCGCAGGTGCTCTATCCACTGAGCAAAACAGCCAGGGCGCATTTCAGTAACTTTTGAAGGTCTCAGGAAATCTTTACGTTTTCCAAGTGTTGGGTGTTGGTAAAATTTACTTTTCTTTCAGTTTTATTTGCTCTGGTTCCTTAAGATAATAGAGAAGCACAATATTTTTTCAATTATTATAAAAACTTTAGGGGGTTTAAATTAAAAGCATAGTTATAATCTTTGGGAAGATTGTGCTAGGGGAAAAAACTATCCTATTATATATCTTTTAGTTCTAGGTAAAAATGTAAATAAATAAATAAAAATAACCTACATCCTTTTCAGTTACTACTAGAAGTAGCTTTTGCCACAGATGTCTATAAACTTAGAGGTTCCAATCTTTAGATCTTTACAAGTTCCTAAAGCAGGGGTAAAGACTGGATGAATTAACAGATACATCAAGGAAAAATCATTGCTTTTTGTTTCTGAGAGAGAGAGGGAGGGGGGGGGGGGCACCCAAAATCTATAAAAGAGCAAGTTAAATTGCAGTTTTTTCCTTAAAAATGTATTTCTAAGTTTCCTGGATTGACTGATTTTTAGATTGGCATGGTTACTCTGACTTCACAATTGGAGCACAGTTCGTATCTGTCACACAGATTAATGTCACCTTGCATGGTTGAAAGACAATTTGTAACCCTCCAGTCTCAATTATAGTGAACCCTACACTTTCTATATGAATTGGAGCAAAAAGTATGTGTGTTTTTGTTCTTTGCATAGTTAGCATGTGGCCCTTAACTTCTAAGAACATTCAAATCTCTGAAAACAGTAGGATGGCTAAATGCTGCTTTCAGAGAATTATTGCTATTTGATTTCTGTTGACTGGATCAATGGAGGTGGTGGATACTGCCTCAGCTAGCACTTGGAAGTAAAAATCTGAGCACCTTTATTTCTGCTAAAGGGTTTAAGTTGGAGCCAGCAACTGCTGGAAACTGGGGTGGTAGGACTTCGACATTGGGCAGAACCGAGTGTGACTAAAGTGATGTCACTGCATGGCGCTGTTCTGGCTGCCGTCCTGAACCGGGCCGTTTCCAACAGGATGGTGGAGCGTGCGGCCTCCTATCGCATAGCTGCGTCCAGAACAAGGTCTGTCAGAGAGAGCAACCTGCTGACGTGGAGGGGGGACGTGTGTTCTGAGCAGCCCTTAAGAGTGATGTCTGTACTGGCTGTGTTTTGGCTATCATTTGAAAAGCATTGACTTGATCTCCAAAGTCTTAGGCAGTTTGAGACTAAATACTGCCCCAAATACCCGTTTTCTCAAACTGCTTTTAAGACCTTGGGTGCGTTCATCAGTAAGGGTGCCTGGGCTTGAGGGTACACAAACCCAGGGCAAAACTGTTTCTTCTCTTAGCTGCTCCTTAGTGCTGGTCATTCCCTGAATGTGGCTTGTTTGTATGGGTGCCCAGAGGACTTTAGACAAATGCTGCATTTTTCTGACAAGTAGATCATCCTCTCTAAAGAACTGTAAACGCCATGTAGGATGAAATGTTAATTATTCATTACATGGGAGCACAACATCCCTAAGAAACCAGTACTGCTTCAAGATCTCATTTTGCTGTTGAGAGACCTTGGTCAAATAGTATTCTTTTCCACAGTAGGCATGCTGAAAAAGTGGGGTGGGGTTGAAATCTGAAGTTTTATAACTTATAAAGTATGCGATGAACCAGGTATGATTTGTATAACCAGCATAGCCTTCTGAGACACCTGCAGTAATGGCTGGAGGAAAGTTGGCTGTGGTCTTTAAGCCGCAGTAACTGTTCAGACCTAATGTGGCCCTGAGTGAATCAGGGAGAGGTTGGTAAGATCCTTTCCAAATCTGGTATCACTGAGGTTTTGTTGGATATTTGATTTGGAAGAATTGGTAGGTTTTGAATTGCTACATCTCATAGTCCCATTTAAAATAAATAAAATCCCAGTCTTAGCAGTGAAAAGTGGAAACTTTCCATTTCTGTTTTGGCGGGTAGGGGGGTAGTAATGGAGACAGAAGATGAATTCGGTCTACCTAGTGTAAGTAGAAAGAGTTTCTGGTCTCTGAGGACCCAAATTTTCTAGCTCTTATCTATATTTAAACTTTAACTGCTTTTGGAGGGGTTGCTGAAACAGAATCTCAGGAGTGTGTGTATGTATGTGTGTTTAGTGCCAACTAGTTTACTTTCATTTGGGGGAGGATAAAGAATTCTCAGTGAGTTATAATAAATCTTGTATCTATTTTCTCAAGGCAAAAGAATGCATGTGCAATTGTCTACAAGCCGCCTTCGGACTGCGCCCGGGATGGGAGACCAGAGCGGCTGCTATCGGTGTGGGAAGGAGGGGCACTGGTCCAAAGAGTGTCCGATCGATCGTACGGGCCGCGTGGCAGACTTGACTGAGCAGTATAACGAACAGTACGGAGCCGTGCGCACGCCTTACACCATGGGCTATGGGGAGTCCATGTATTACAGCGACGCCTATGGAGCACTGGACTACTACAAGCGCTACCGGGTCCGCTCCTATGAGGCGGTGGCGGCAGCAGCAGCAGCTTCTGCGTACAACTACGCAGACCAGACCATGTCCCATCTGCCTCAAGTCCAGAACACAGCTGTGACCAGTCACCTCAACTCCACTTCTGTTGATCCCTACGACAGACACCTGCTGCCGAACTCCGGTGCTGCTGCCCCCTCAGCTGCTATGGCTGCCGCCGCGGCCCCCACTTCTTCCTATTACGGAAGGGACAGGAGCCCCATTCGTCGTGCTGCAGCTGTGCTCCCCGCAGTGGGAGAGGGCTATGGCTATGGGCCAGACAGCGAGCTGTCTCAGGCTTCGGCGGCTGCACGGAATTCCCTGTATGACATGGCCCGGTGTGAGCGGGAGCAGTATATGGACCGAGCACGGTACTCAGCCTTTTAAAAACTGGAGGTGAGAGTGGGGCAGGTGTGGTTAAAAGATTCCATTTAGTTCCCTTGAAAGAGACCCATGCTTTAGAGGGGAAGGTAAAGCCACCTGTTTGCTGTCAGGACATTAGTATCCTAAAGGTATAAATTACTTGCTTAAATATTTCTTTAGCTTAACAGAGGTTCATGTGGCCTGTTGAGGTTTTAGTGTTTTGACTCCAACAATCTTGTTCCTTCTGAGAGAAGAAACTGAGTTAGTGAGAATACTGTGTTAAGTGTAAGCTAATCTGGGTTACAGAAATAGTTAAGAGAACTAACATTTATTAAGTGCCCTCTGTATATATCATATAATTTAACCTACACAATAAGCCTTTAAGGTATGTTCTGTTGTAGAGAGAAGGGAACTAAGCCTCAGGTTAAGTACTTTGCCTGGAGTCATCTGATAATTGAGTAGAGCCAAAATTCAAACTCAGGCCTGGCTGACTCCTAAACCCATTATCTTTCCACTAAAGTCACTGGTGTAAACTTAAGAGTACAGAGTACAGGTTCAGGAGTTAATAATGCATGTCACAGTGAGAATTTTAACTATAACTTTAGACTTCCAATTGGCTAATAAAAATCTACTTGAGTCATTAAGCTTTATCAGAGGAACCTTTTCTAATATATAGCTATAAGCCAAATACAGTTTATAAATTTTCGGTGTTTAGTTATAAGACACTTGCTTGAAATCTGAATGTTTTGATGCCACTGTCCCATGCAGTCCCTTATCTAGAGCAGCGGTCACCAACCTTTGTGGACCACCAGTTGGCGACCTCTGCTCCAAATGTTTCTTTAAGGTTTCCTTAAACCAGTGGTCGCCAAACTTTTGGACCTCATGGACCACCTGTTGGCGACCCCTGATCTGGAACGCTGATCTGGAACATCTCATTGGATCGTAAGCCGTATCTCTGCATAGTCAGTGATACTTTCATAGCCTGATGCGTCCCTTTTTCCCCAGCAAGTTTGGTTTGGTTTGAGAATATTTAAGGAACTAGATAACTGGGTAATTTTGGATGTGTATAAAATCCCACTGGTGACCCTGGGAATTTAATGTTTCCTACTTCAGAAAATGTATGCAAAGACGTTAGAAGGGCAAGAGTAATAAGACTGATACATCTCTTCAAGCAGAAATGGTATCACGACAACTATTTATTTTCCTGGTTTTCCTTGTACCTTGAAATTGAGAATCACTTGAATGGGAGGCCTAATAGCAAAGTTAAACTTAGTTACCATGAGTTTTCAGGGTACCTAACTTATCCCTTTGGTAGATACTTAGAAAAAAACAAAGCAGTAGGAACTGCCCTTTTTCATAGAGAGAAGCAAATTTGGCAGGAACTTATGACCATGAGACCAGGACAAGACTGGGATCTCCTGAGACCACTGTCCAGTCGTGTGTTCATATACATGAAGTTGATAACCTTACAACTTGTGTAGTTTGCCATTACTTTTACTTTTAATACAGCTGAATCTGCCATGAAATGGGATATGCCTCTAAAATAAGGTGATATTATCCATCAGATAACTCCTCTTGAATGTTTCAAAGTTAAATATTAAGTTAGTATATAGTATTTTAAAGTGAATTTTGAGTGCAAACAGTGGTTGTTCAACTAACCTCTTTTTAACGATGACTTTTAAAGAAACTTACCTTCCAGGTGTGAACCTCAAATGGACTGAATAACCCTGAGTTGGTTGCAGTCCCAGGAGCCTGATGGTAATGAGGCTGCCAGGATGAAATACTCCAGAACTGTTGGGGATCCAATTTCGGGTTTCACTCTAGCAGAACTGATTCAAGAACGTCACAGCTTTTGAAGTCCATTGGCACAGATCAAGACCAAGATTTGGCCCTTTGTCTGTAATAAGTAGAGGAGCTTGGTGTGAGTTAACTTTTTTTTCCCCCCAGCCATTGGTGTCTGGAGCTTCCATCATCAGTGGAAGAACTAGAGAATTTTAGGATTTCTTCTTTTGATTTGATAAGGGAGATGTGGTCAATTAGGGGAACTACTCTTAATAGAATTATGGTTCTAAATCTATGACTGACCTGTAGGTATGTTAGAGGGTAAATAAACACTCCTTGATACTTATTTACTGTGAAAGATTAAGATGAAACAAATTTAGAATAGAGCAGTTAGCCATATTTGAGATCTTAGCATCTTCTGCTTTTCCTGGACCCAAAAATTAAATTACAGTTCTTGGTAGTCTGTATGCCCTTTGGTATAGTGAGAATAGCTTTGTATCACAGAAGTTGTCTTGCCTAAAAAATAGGTAAGAAAATGAGAAATATGTGTTTATCAACACAGCAGTCTTCCAGATAGATTGCTTCTAGTTCTATTATAGCTATAAGTAGATTCCTATATATAGTCATGATCATGAGTCCTGGGTAATTACATGGGATAAGTTTGATCCAGTCTGACTCGGTTTTGTTTTGTTCTTTGTTCTTTTCCCCCTGGAATGCAGGACAGGACCAGGGCCCTTGTACTCGGAGCCAAGCTGCTCTCCAGGCAGTGTGTAAGCCTCTTGTGTTGTGCTCTCTTTCAGGTAGGATAATTGTGGATGAACCCTCGGGCTGCGGTCATATAAGAGAACTTGCTTCGCGCGGTCCCCTTTGCCGGGATGTTTCCATTGCTTCATGTTTCAGTAAACAAAGGAGTTTGTGACCAACTATGTTTTCTTTCTTAATTTAATTCTTCTAAGTTGACTTTTCTTTTTTCTTAATATAAGGGTCTATAGCCTTTCATTCTATTCCTTATATTCCCAGCCTCTGAGCAGCCTTAGGTAAGGATTATGCTGGCACCCCTTTTCCTGTACAGTGGAACCCTTACCTTGCTTTCCGTAGGAGTTGAATCCTCCTTCCTGTCTACCTGAAACATCTCCTTAACCTTTAAAATGACCATTTAGTGGCAAGCAACCTTTTCCTCTTCGGTTAGCTTTGGACTTAACATTGAAGCTAATCTTCTGCAATTGCTAGGACCACTGGGGTGGGGATGTTTGTTTTTTTATGTCTGACATGTGATCGTGGTACAGCATTTGCTGAAATTGAGCCTTGTTTTGCTCCACTCCCCCTTTTTTTTTTTTTTTTAATATTTTGACAAATAAACGTTTCTAACACTTAAGTATCTTTGTGTGAAATTTTACAACCATTATCATCTTCGCAGTTGTGCTCAAATTACAAAATTCAAGTGAATTCAAATTTAGATTGTAGAAGTATTCAGTGAAGTAATGTGGCCTCAGCAGAGGATGGGGAAAAGTTAGCTAACTAGCATTTGAGACATTGATAAACATGCTCCTCCTTTCTAAAAAGCAGAGCTACACTTTCCAGTTTAAAGGCTAGCATACCCAGGAAGCAGGAACAGAGTAAGCTGCACAGGGAAAAGCCTGCATCGGGAAAAGGATGAGCCAGAGCATCCCCAAGGACCTTTCAAGTTAATTCCATTTGACTTCAGAGTGTGTTTGTTTAAATTCACTTACAAACTATTTTAAGAGTTCTCTTTCCATTGTGTTAATATTCTGCTAGGATTAAACTTTGGCTAAAATGAATAAGATAGTTGTGATAGGTCAAAAGAAAACATGTCATAATATTTTGAGCAGAAAAAAGAGGATATTAATGATTGGCACTGACAACATTCTGCAATGAAATTTGTCCTCTAGAATTTTTTACAAAAAGATTTATAGACATTTTTATTACTATTACTTAGATCCCCATAAATAATTTTAATGACAGATTCAACCCTACTTAAATTTTATTGTATCCTATATGGATTTTGACATGTAAATTCTGACTGCCCTGGCTGCTGTGGCTTGTTGGTTGGGCACTGTCCTGTGCACCAAAAGATTGCTTGTTCAATTCCGTCAGGACACATGCCCGGGGAATGGAGGTCCCCAGGTGGCAACCATTAATGTTCTGTTCTAGCATCAATGTTTCTCCTTTCTCCCTCTCCCTTCCTCTCTAAACATCAATTTAAAAAAATTTAATTTTGATTACCTGTGACTGTAATTCAAAGTATTTCCCCCACATATTTTATCCTTACACTGAAAATAATCCTGACCTGGGGGAAGCAAAATTTCCCCCTGCTTTCTGGGGGTAGGATACAACAATCCAGAGAGGTTAACCTGTCAGTACATATATTCCAACTAGTAGTGAAGTACACAAAAAAAGAATAAAGCAAAGATACTGGGATTTCCTTGTGATTGATCTGCAACATACCCTGCAAAGCAAAGAAATATGTACAGGTTTGCTGGCCTCACCAAAATCTCCAGTTCTGTGTTAACAGTGGATTCTGCAAAAACAGTTCTACATCAACACTGTCAGTAAAACACTATCAGTAATGTTGGAAGTGTTTTATATCTGTGCTGTCCTATTTGTAGTTACTAAGTATTTAAAATGTGGCTTGAGAAACTGAGTTAATTTTTTTTGCCCTGAAAATGTGTCAGATTTTTTTTTTTCCCCCCGCCTTGAAAACACAACTGGACAACTGGAGAACAGCTGGTGAAATGCCAAGGGAGGAGGGGTCTGGCGTGGCTACAATAGATCTACACAAAGTCCTAACAGTATGTGTGGCTGAAGCTCAGTGAGCAAAGGAAAGAGTAAATTTGTAGAGCTACGAGGAGGCAGAGCACAAGGGGCTAAAGGCTTGTCCATGGAATCTGATCTTTAGTCTAAACAAGAAACTCAGGATTAAGGGGGAGGTGGAATAAACGGTGATCCAATACTTGACTTGGGATGGTGAACACAATATCTATATTAATAAGAGTAATATACTAATTAGACCAGGAGACCTTCCAGACAAAGCCATGGTGGAGGGGCTGAGGTAGAGGCAGTGAGGGACGATCAGGCCTACAGGGGAAAGCAGTTGTGGGGGTCAGGCTGGTAGAGGTAGCAGTGGAGGGGGGGGGGGGGCGCTCAGGTTGGCAGGCAAAGGTGGTTAGGGGCAATCAGATAAACAGTGGTTAAGGGTGATCGAGCAAGCAGGCGAGCAGTTAGGAGCCAGTGGTCCGGGACTGCAAGAGGGATGTCTGACTTCGGGATTGGGCCTAAACCGGTAGTCAGACATCCTCCAAGGGGTCCTGGACTGGAGAGTGCAGATGGGCTGAGGGGAACCCCACTACCACCACCTTGCATAAATTTCATCCACCAGGCCTCTAGTCTATATAATAGAGCTAATTAGACCAAATAGAACCACTGGCTTCAGACCTTCCAGATGAAGCCAGCCTGTTAGAGCTGACTGAGACGTAGCTGGGGCCGTGAGGACAGAGCCCCTTGCATGAATTGCATGCATTGGGCCTCTAGTGTATGTGTGTATGTTGGTATATGACAAGTTCCATTTTATTCAAGCTGTGTCTGAAATATTATACATTCAAGCAAAAATATCAAATGGGAAGTAGGATATGAGGCTGGAGTTTGGGAAATGTGAACTGGTGATATAAATTGGGGAATTCTGTATACAAAATGGCATGTGAATCCACAGGATCACCAGAGACCAAAATCTGAACCATGGAGCCTCCAAAATCAAGAGCTCAGAGAGAGCCAACACCGGTTTGGCTCAGTGATAGAGCGTTGGCCTGCGGACCAAAAAGTCCCAGGTTCGATTCTGGTCAAGGGCATGTACCTTGGTTATGGGCATATCTCCAGTAGGGAGTATGCAAGAGGCAGCTGATCAATGATTCTCTCACATCGATGTTTCTAACACTCTATCCCTCTCTGTAAAAAAATCAATAAAATATAAATTAAAAAAAAAAGAGAGGAAACAGCAGAGGAAATTGAGAAGGTAGGAAAACCCAGAGGATCATGTCCTGGAAATCAAATGAATTAAGTGTTAAGGAATATAGTAATCACCTATGTCAAGATACTAATACCAAGAATATAAACAGGTAGATGAAGACTGAGAATTGACCAGGGACTGAGGGGGTTAACTGCAAAGCAGCACAGGTGACAAACATGTTCTATATCCTGACTGGGTTGATCGTCATACACTCAAAATATGTCAAATTATACTCTTAAAAATTGTGTAATTTGTGAAAAATGGCAATAAAGCCATTTTTTAAAAAGCACATCACATAATACTCCTCTGTTTAAATCAAACAATGTAAGGCTATTTCACTCAGAATAAAGGCCAAAAAAGCCCTAGATGATCGTCGTTTAACTATCCTACCTTCTCTTCTACTCCTCTCTCATCACTCCACTCTTGCCCCCGTGTCCTATTAAAATAGCTCGGCTACAATCCCAGACCTTGGGGCCCTTTCTCAAACTGTTCTATTTGGAATTCTAGAAGTCTATTTGGCTCTCATCTCATTCAAGTCTGCTCAAATCTCCATCTCTCAATGAGGCTTGCCACCCTATTTATTACAGTAATCTGCACACCTATATATTCCTCTAGCTCAGTGGTTCTCAATCTTTTTAATGCCTCGACCCTTTAATACAGTTCATGTTGTGGTGACTCCAACCATAAAATTATTTTCGTTGCAATTTCATAACTGTAATTTTGCTACTGTTATATTATAAATTGTAATGTAAATTTCTGTGTTTTTTGATGGTCTTAGGCTCTACAGCAGTGGTTCTCAACCTGTGGGTCACAACCTGAGAACTGCTAGCAGGGTCACCTAAGGTCAATGATTCTCTCTCCACTGATGCTTCTACCTCTCTAAAATCTATACATATATAATTTATTCACTCCAGAACTGTAGGCATCGGAGCACTTTACACCTTACAGAGTACCGCACTATTTATTGAATCAATGAATACTGTTAGTCTCCATCTTTTAAAACTTGCTAATCCCACCCATCAGACCAAGGAATAGATCAATAAAAGTTTAGATTTGTGATAGATCTTTTAAGAGAAAAAGGGAACCACCCTCTAAAAAGTGGTGAATAACCAAACCAACTAGATAAGATAAAAAAAAATGGGAGCAAAGTACCCAGCCTAGATATTCGTCATAGTCATAATCTTAGTCATTGACCACTTCTGGCCCATAGGAGTAACTATTCCCACCTCCAATCCTCTTTACTCCAACAGTATTCCTGGAACTGTTATCTTAATCATGACCTCTCATCAAAAACAGCTTCCAAGTTCAGCAATTATTTGTATCCTGAGGGTAGAATAAAAGATTGTAACTGACAGAAAAATGCAATAGAGGACACATGGATCACCTATCACAAGGTTTCACATAGGGCAAATATTCAATAAATTACAAGTTATATTAATACAGAGGTATTCCCATCTAGGCCACCTATGAACAAGAAGCAGTCAGGGTAGAAGCATTTAGTACAATTCTGAAAAATCGCCCAACTTAAGACAGCTTTTTCTTATTTCCCATCACCACAACCACTCTTCCTAAAGGCATGACTAGCATACAGTAGGTGCTCCGTATTTGTTGAAACGATTCTGGGAAATGCCCTAATTAGGTACTGCCCTAAGTGTTAAAACTGGAGCAAGAAAGTATAGACAAAAATAAAATCTGGAAGACAATGTTTTTAATAGAAGCACAGAACTAAGAAGTGGCTGCCTCTTCCCTGCCCTCACCAATCCATCCTCATTGTTAAATAATCTAAAACTCAATGCGAGGTCCTTTTTTTATGCCATTCATTGTAAAGGCTGTAAGTACAAGTAATGAGGTACTAGTGAATGTTTGTCAGCTATACAAATAAGATGGTGAAAGGTATTAAAAAGTGTTACTTACTGGCCTAGAAGTAGTAGAATACTGTTGAAGCCATAACCCCACCACCACCACCACCCCATGACATAAAAAGTGAATGTTCCCTCAAAAATGTCCTTTTCTTAAGACCTCTTCCTTGGAAGTAAGTCAAACTAAATGTATTGACTGGGAAGCTGGAATGGTAATAGTAAGGGGCGGGAGATGACTGTTTCTCAAGCAGGAAAAGACCTACAGCTCAAAACTACTGGTAAGCAATTAGTTTTACAATTTCAAGGTGGACCGATGGGGGTATGTAAGTCTTTACTGGAATAAGGCTGCCTGACTCTGTCCTTCTGTATTAACCCTTTTACCTTTTACAATAAAGAAAATAAACAGTGATGTCCTCCCAGAGCTGAATGTCAAACTTTACATCCTCCTCTCCTTTCTGGGGACAAATGAGGCCAAACAAGAACTCTCTCACAGCA